TTGAACTAGATCTCAACTGTGTTCTCTTTATAAATGTTGCAAATTATGTTGGTAACATGAAACATATTTCTAAAAGGTTAAAATAAATAAAATAAAATAAAATAAAAAATTGAAAATAATCCTAGTTTACCATGGCCCTTTCTCAATTCTCAAGTACGCGAGTCCATACTCGCTTGCCGAGATTGTGAGCACGGACTCAAGAACAAATAAAACACTGAAATAAACCAAACATTAACATTTCAAAGTTATCTAAGAGTCTTATCTATCTATCTATCTATCTATATATATATACATCCCACAGCGAATATTTTCCTTGTAAAACAAAGGGGGGCCCAGCAAGAAAAGTTTGGGAACCACTGCCCTAGGTCAACACACCTGAATCACATGATTAGTTCATTACCAGTTTTTAAATTGTGTTAATAGGCCACATGAAGCCAGAGTTACGATAACAAATACACACAATGTCTTTTTCCTGAATATTGTTGTCATGTTTACTGCAGGAAGAAACGGTAAAAACAATGTTTTCTAAGGAAAGCGCTCAAAAGCAGTCTCTTCTTGCGATCAAAAAAAGTAAGAAAAGAAAAGAAAAAACACCTTTTTCATATAGGTGGAAAAATGTGCCATATCGACCACTCAGAAGATGATATGGCAAAATGACTTTGGTTGTTTAGTAAGAGGGGGAAAACAGCTGCAAGAAAGAGAGAGAGCGAGTTTTGAGATGTGAGAGATTGGCATGTTAGGAGTGTGTAGTAAGTGTGTTGTGCAGTCGATCGTTTTGTTTTGTTTGTCAGAACAATGAGGCAACTGCTAAATGTTGCAGTTGCTGCCAAAATGCCACCAAAGGCCGCTTGCAATGTAAACGATGCCTCCAGGTTGAAGACACGAGGGATGATACACCTCCTGCTTTCAGGCCTGCAGGTATCAGGCTTGTGATGTTCTCCTTTATGTTAGAGTGGACAGAAATATTTTTTTGGAGTAGCAAAAATAATTTGCGTGTTATCTTATTTAATGCAGATCACCTGATTGTAAGTACTTTGAATTGGTTATATAAAAACTAGGAGTGGGAATTTAACGCATTATTGCAATTAATTAATTTGAAAAAAACAATGTACTAAAAAATTACGTATTTAATTGCACTTTGCATTCCAGGCAAAGGCTAACCTTTGTCAATGCACGATTTTCTGGTATATCGATTACACTGATGCAAACATCAGAGCTACAAAGAATCAGAAGAAAGTGCATTGCTAGGAATGATTGGAGGCAAATTTAATTTCAAAATACTACCCAATGGAAGGCTTGATGAAAGTGTGGTTTTGTGCAAACTGTGAAAAATGGAGTTTGCATACCACAGAAGCACTTCAACCTTCCATTACCATTAGTGTTGCCAACTCCCTGAGAAATAAATAAGGGACAA